GCACGCAGATCTTATAAAGTATCTGTTCTCTTCTTCCATCCGATCCCATTACAACTGTGTATTTGCTTGCACGACTACCGGTCTTTTGTGGAGCCTTATCCTGTCCGATCTCTTAGCAACTCGTATCGCATCTCTTATGAACCTAACTCACACAATTCGTGAATTATGTTCTATTGTTCCTTGCTTTCCACAATTCTGGTATAATTTTACTCGTTTACTTATTTCTGCTTTGGTTATACAGCTGAGGAATATATCCATTTCGGGGTGCATCAACCATATGCTAAACTTATGCTTACGCTACTCGCCAGTAGTTAAATTAGGTGAGGCAAAATATTCCAGATAATGCTGTACAATGTACTGAAATAAACTGGGATGTTGTGATGCAACAAACAGTTCCTTTAAATTTCTTCAACATCAGCAACCGAACCTACTGAACGAACTGAAAGAAAAATCTTGGAATTGAAACACACCAAATCCGATTAGTGACTGGAATGAACCTTAAAAATGGCTGCTAAAACCTCCGAACAACTTTAGAGTACAGTTAAATTGGCTTACTGTTGATGACTACTTACATAATGGATAATGTCCTTCAAGCATCTTATGTTTCTCGAATGACACGGCAACTATCCACCCGGATAAAAGAACATCACCTACGCTGGTTAAGACTAGGACATACCAGATCGTTAAACAGCTCAAACCTAGTAAACTTAATCGACACCGGAAATCACTTTCAAAGTTGTTTATCGTGTCCCTCACACCAAACTCAAGTGTGTTCAACTGCTCACTCTAGCAGTAACCGAGGTAATTGGGATAAGAAAGTCAACCCCTCACCTCTACACCCATAAGCGTTAATTTAGTCACTCCAACTTCCATGACCCGTGATCAATCAGGCCCGATTGTATCCGCCGTCAAGTCCCCCTGAGGCTGTAAGCTAGTTTAACCAATCAAATGTCAAATTCAAGTACACCGTGGCAAACTATCATCCATGATTGATGTTCTTCCTAACTGTATAATCTGTGTTCTAGTGATGCTTACGTGATATGTGAACGGTTAGAGACTGAATTACTGAAAACAGTTGTTTCGCCAAATTGAATGTTTCTTTATTAATTTATTTTCATCAATACAGAAAGAAGATAAATTTTGTGAGATATCATTATTGCGATCAATCTGACTTCAATCACGCCCATACATAGCACATGGGATTCAACCAATCCACTTACCTTGAAGTTGACGCTTTACTTCTATATTTAGTAATCTTTGTAAGCTTGCGCAAGTTCATTCATTCTGAGTGAAGAACCTCATATACCGTTTATGTCTCTGCACTCGTTGTACTATTCCCATAATCATCTGACCAAGTGTCGTTTTTATTCTTCAAACGTTCTGCATTTGGTCTCTGACACTCCCATATCATTATCAATGGAAAATCACTGTCTCCTGTCTTGCACGGATCCTCACAAACCAGGTACGGTTCTCTGCTGAATTTTTCAGCAACTCTTCAAGAGTGCTCTTTCAACAATTATCAGTTCCTTTTCAACAGGAAGAAGTGTCATTTTGGAAACGTTTTGTTCATTTTTTCTGGGTTGGACTAAGTAAATACACGTTCTTATATTAACAAAGGATTGCTTTGATAACAACTATAACAGAAAAATTAAAATGAACAACGTCTTGCCTAGAAAACAGGAAAGGGAAAACTGTAGTGTCATTGATTTGATATGAAATTATACTAATAACTCAAAGACAGCAAGAAAATTTCACGCTACATGCATGAAATCGAACATAGTTACTTATTATCTTGTTCAGTCTTTATCCGTCAACAGTAATGCCTCTTACAGACTTAGGTGAACCATAATATTCCTAGAAATGTGACGTTATAATAAAATGATGATTTGTGCAACTATATGATGAGCATGCATTGGAAATGTATTGAGGCCTAAATGATCTAAGTCACTCGGAAGTGTTTTCTCGGTGAACTGAAAAACGCTATAGGAACCACGGTTTAACTGTCAAGGTTAACGAACAACAATGCAGTAAATTACTGGTTCCGTTCCAATGGTACTCATATCACATTTGACAACTGAAATGGAAAATTCTTTAAGCCGTCAATTCTGTGATTGGTTCGAAAAGGTTGTCGGTTGTATCCTGGACAAATGTGCGTCTATATAAATGCTCTGTGGCAAACCTTTACAAAAAGTTTATTGTTAATTCCATTTGGTCGATCTTCCCCTTTGTATTCTTATGGCACATGCAGAGTAGCATTTATTTATTTTACTTGAAAATTACCAAGTTCTGACCTCTCGATCGTGAATACCCAATCCAATTTCTTGGAAAAGAAAGTTAACGTGTATCTTATATTGTTTGATCAAAGGGAAAAATTTTGATGTGCCTACGTGTCAACTTTTATCACTGTTTGTTACAACCATCAAGTTCCGGAAAAAGAAAATCTTTAGTCAGATCGTTGAATATTATTCAACTTGGACATGTTAAAATACTGCTTTTTCGATAATGATGTCTGAGAGCCACCTTCAAGATATCACTAGTAACTGTTCACAAAAACCACTGAAAATTTTACAGTATAATCCTTTTTGCCTATTCAGAAACGAGAGGAAGAATTAGAAAAGCTCACGGAGAAACGTGACGGCATTAGTACACAGCTAAAGAACTTGCTCATTGATTATCATCGAGATCAGACAGATTTGGAATTGCAGCTACTGACGAAACAAGGTCAGGTGGAACTCGAAGTGGCCGAGGGCGAAATGGTGCACGATTTCTCCGACGCTCTGTTAATTGATCGTCAACGTGTGGAAGCTCTGAATAAACATATCATCATGTTGGGAGAAAGCAAAGTAGCTCACATGATCAAGAATAAAGAATTCAAAAAGCGATTTTATCATCTGGAATGGTATGTAGCTTGACGCTTCATATTTGACACAGTTATTTTGATACTACTCAGATTTGCAGTTTGTTGGATCTGTCCATTATCAAGTCAACTTAACAATTATTGGTCTATGAAATCTGTCATAACTCACCGATTACCAGAAAACAGTTTTTATTTCAATCGACTAATGATTTTGGAGGGTCGTGTTATGGATTTTGACCACAAAGTTTGAGAACAATAGTCCTACACATCAAATTTCCTCACACGAGGAGCACTATGTGAGCACGATCATAGTAAAGGGCGGCCTCTCAATAAAATCAAGCAACAATCATCTTATTTGTTCCGACAGAACAGAGCTTTTACCCACCAAGATTTATACGCGTGGCTCTACATACTCAAAAGAAGTATTTATCTAATGAAAGGAAACTTGTCCTCACCGGGCCTCTTTACATCATATCAAATAATCGCGCCGTTTGGAAATCGGTGTTCAGTTGATGCCTACGTGAATGATTGACAGTTTCTAGGATTGCAATACTTGATTTAAAAGTCAAAACACCACTTATAATTTACGTGGTAAGTTATCTATCCTAATTTTCACTTTGTGGTCCCAAACGCACACTAACTTGCTGACAAATTTTGTTACCAAGGCAGCCATCTTCCTGATGGTAGACGAATCTCAGATGGAATTTCAATGTGATTGAGGGAGGTGCGGTGAAGACATTATTTGATACCCTCGGTACAAATGTGGTATCCAGTTATCTCTATCAAGTGGATAATGTGCTGCTTCAGCCCAATCAGTGCTGATATGTGATGCATTGATGTTGAATACTACGAACAGAAGGTAGGCACAGTGCTCGAATATCGCTTTCTATGTTGAATTACGCAAGCCGATTAGGGTAAGATGGTAATGCAATTGCGGTCTCGTAGTTACATAAATGCTTAATTCTTGGATCGTATGGGTCACAGTAGATCTCCCGGCTGGGAGTCTCATACCGAACCCATTAATGTGTGATTTAGTTCAGGATAATCGATAGTGGAAAAAGTGCTTTCTAACATTTTGAGAAAAATTAAAGTTACCAGAGTACTTCATGAACGGTATAAATGGGCAAAACCAGCTCTGTGTTTTATCAAAGATCCATTCCGTGGGAGTATACTGATGAGACCCAAAAGGAAGATTTTAATCTCAGGAGTTTCAACTACCGAAATATTACCACCCAGACGTTAGCATATTCTTAGTTGTGCGTATCAAAGGTTTCCCCGTCGAAAAATTCTTTGGAATGCTAACCACCAGAAAGTTAGTAATCCACATTTTCATAGGCTTCGCACGTTATGATGGCGGTAATCAATTGGTAGAAGAACCAGCTTATCGCCTCGGAGGTCGTGTGTTCGAAACTCGAACACCGCTCTCTAACTCTTGATTTTTGTATCTCTTTCATGAAATATTTTGTAAAATCCTGCGTTCAATAAAACAAAATAAATGACTAAAATAACTTTTAAGGTGCATTACGCACACTGAAAGGATCAACCGAGCCTTTTAGTTTGTCCAGCGTGCTTTGCGCATCCTTCGTAAATGCAAACAGACAAACGATTTACACAACTTTCTTCATTTGTCTATTCAATACTTACTTTTTATGGATCAACTCTGTTTTTTCCAATATTTCTTCATTGAAGAAATCGGATACGAATGGAAAAATAGAACACTCTTAAAAAGTACTGTCAGTAGTGACGGACAAGACGGAGACCCTTACTCAACTAAACGTATGTGAGTACAATGACCTTGGCATACTGAGAATAGTGATTACGATCCGCACGTAAGCACTGGCCCCTATCCTCCATTTTATTTTCCATCTCTTTCGCCTTGCGTGCTTCCCGGCAGCTAAAAACCCTTTGTGTCGTAACTATCCCTTACTGAGGTTCGTTCAGTTATCCAAACTACATCCTTAGCCCTGTACCTCTCCAAGTTCATAGAACTAGTGATCATACAACAATGTCGATGACAGTTGAAACTCAGTGAAGTTCCGAACGACTGTCACTACGACTTCCGCTGCCCCAGATTCACTGGCCACCTGTTGACATGCAAGTCCCACATTTGGTCTCCCGACACTGATTACCAAAGTGAGTTGTGTAAAGTCCCACCTGATATCTGCAAGGCTTTCGATCGGATTTGACATGATGGGCCCCCACTGGAAGCTCCAAATTTTGAACACTCCCCGTGTTCCGTCGCTTACGTATAAATTTTCCTTGGTGGCCGTTCAATCCTGGGTCGCGTTGATGGAAACATTTCGAGAGGGATCCTGGTTAACTTCGACACCCCCATGAGATTCCCTGTTATTTCCCATCCTTTTTTTCTTCCTCGAAGACCCTTTATCGTAAACTCCTAATCCTGTCCATGCATTTTCCGATGATCCCGCCCTACATCACTCACTTTGTTACAACACTTTTCATACTTCCTTTAGGATCAATACTCGCCGCGGATTCTCTGCTTAAGTTCAGTTAAGTTTGTATCCAGAATTTGACTGCAATTGCCAGAAAGCTCAGGTTCTTCCACTTGGTGAGGAGACAATAGGAGCAAAGAATTTATCTCTTCCATTAGAGTCAAGGCAAAAATATTGGGATTCCCCCATCTGCAAATACTGTTTACACTCTGTAAATGCAGAATCACAGGTGTTACCTGAAAATCACTTTACTGGCCGGTGCTATCAGTTATAGGTAGAGTGATAAGCTCACAGATTCCATGATTGATATCAACTGCGAGAGAGCACTACCAAAAGTTGGTATTTGAAATTCATATCTTAGGGAGGAGAACGGAAAGAAAAAGCAATAATAAGGAGAGACTCATAGAAAGGAACGTCAATTATTAGGACCTCTGAATCGAATGGACGGTGATTATGGTCTGTCAACCGTTGCTATATCCACGCGCTGTGACTCAGACATTCAATATATCCGACATAAACACTGATCCCCAGACCCCATCAAGTTGGTGTTTGAAGCTCGAAACCGTCAGGGCCTCTGTCATCTCCTCCAGCACCATGTCCGAAGTCTGAACCTGGTGCGCTTATATTTTACATGCAGACTAAGAGTTCTCAAGTTACGATTCTTCCGGAGTGGATGGATGCTTTAGCCACCTACATTTGCATAGTCTTTGAGTAGCTTGAGATCCCAATGAATTCCACTCTCCTTCGCTCTAGACAGAAGGGCCTCACGTGTTCTCATCACTTCTCATTTATCCCACCTCTAAAATCTGGGTAGCATCTGGTGAACCGGCTTTTGGACTCGATCCAGTACCTTCACGGCCCGTAATAAATAGCGTCATAAGTCCTGGACACGGTATTCCTGGTGAGGCCGAACAAAGGTATTTTACAGTGTCACCAGCATTACACGGTGGAGTTGGGAAATCATCCTGGAAACCGTCAACGCTGTCTGTTCACACTGAGCTCCACGTTTGTGCTTCACTTAATACAGATTCGATGACGTTGTAATGAGGCTCCGAGAAATGCATACAACCATTAGGTAGATAAGGTGCCTCTTATTTTCCAGTTTGGGGTCCAAAACACCCTCTAACTAGTCATTTGGTAACTTTGAAGGATATAGTGGCAAAACAACAGCAGTGGCCCTTTTGCTGCCGTTTCCTATGTTGATAGAATGCTTGGAAAGGTGTATATACAGAATTAAACTGTGCTGTGTCAAATAGAGGTTCGCTTTCCCCATTTATAAAAAATCACCATTCACGTTGCAAATTCGTACACAAATCGCATACATTATGGGCTTCGCAGCGATCAGCGAAGTGAACTTCGCTGATTTTTTTGCGGTGCAATGAAGGGGATGGTGAAATGTGATCATTTCTACCATATATAGTAAGCAGGATCTAGAATACGTATACATACATATATATTTATCACCAGTTTACGAGCAAGCTTGGCTCCAACATAGCAACAAAAATAACACAAGACAATGGGGTTGGGAATAACGAGAGTAACAACTGGATTTTTTCATCATCTGGTTTTTGATATTTTTGTGCGTTCAAGGAGTAGTTTTAAAGGAAGGTGTTTCAGAAAATTTCGTCCGTTGAGCTGTAGTTTTGTGACAATTTATGGAACAACGTAACTTCTTTTTAGACCTCAGATATAGATGAATGAAATAGTGATAAATATCCAAACCCTCCTCCTCCTAAACGAAAAGGATTTCTCCCGATCGATCAACTGCCTCTTATATTAATGATGGTCATAATGGTCTTCTAATATTGATACAGGGAACTCCGTCAAATGCTCATGCAATACGAGGATCTACAAGCAAAACAAGCCGATATTCGGAAATTTAAAATTACTCGCGAAGTACAAAAGGTAAGTCTGATGTCACAAACAAATAATTATCGATTTCTGATACCAGTATTTAGAGATCAGTGACTATGACGGACTAATCAATGCGCAAATTATGACAATAGAACAAACAATCAATTTACAGCGACAAGTAAGTTCACGATATCGACATTTCGGATTTTTGTATAAAAAGTTCGAAGTTAACCATTAGGTGGCATTCACAATTATTACTCTGTTTCTTCTTGTTATTCCTTTATGTCAGGGAATTTTGTTTCATCGTTTGGAATGGAATTGAACCAGAAATTGGGATGTGAAATTTACACGCATAAAATTTTATCTTTCTAGCTGTTCTTAAACATTCTACATAGCCGATATTCGAGCGGTACGTTATGTCACTTCTTCGCAACATATTCATTTTCGAATTAACCCGACTGCGAAAATTCATGTTGTTTTTTAATGGATATTGTTTCTATGTATTTCAATTTACGATAGTCTCATGAAAAGAATATGGAAAAGAAAAGAAAACGTCTGCGGCGCTATGAGGTCAAACAAGGCGAGAAAATGTTGGCGGAAAACCAAAGGGCAGAACTTCANATGAAACAAAATTAATACATGATCAAAGCCGTGAGTTCCTTCACTGTGTTGTTTTAACCATTGTCTATCCTATACTAGCCCCATCTTTTATCCCGCATTGTTTCGCCATAAAATAGGGGTAATTTAAAGTGAACAGCCACGTATATAAAATACGTAGTAAAGATGCCTACACTAACCGTCAGGTAAAGTGCCAAAGTAGATTACAGAATTTTACGTTTCGTTTCAGTGAGCTCTTGTCTAATATCGTCAGTATCATATAGAGGACTCACATGAGGTATAATCAGCGTCGTGTTGTCAAGTGCTCAAATCATATTGGTCAAAAACGAACATAAAAGTTCGACGAAAGTGGACTAATTGAGAACAAAAAATACTTCACTAAACGNGTTATTATTCTCTTTAAGAAGCTTTCCTTGACGTTTATACATAATGTAATGGTTACGCGATTCAAAGTTTATCACGAATGATCTTTCAGTAACCTTCTCTAAAATACTGCTGAATTACTTTTGAAGTTTTGAAAATGTGGAATTTAGCTGGGTTGTCATTCTCACCAAAAACAACGCAGCTTAGAATGAACAGTATTTTATCCACTGAATTCGCTTAACTTTACATGACGTGATCGGTATTATTATTGTTTTTATTTAACAAGCATGCACATCAGGCAATATTTTGCTAAACTATTCCTTAACCACCAACTGTGTTTAGTCACAACGATTTTATTTGTGAATCATCCCCGAAAAGTCACATTGACAGTGTTGTTTAGATTTCACTGACCACAACAAGCTCGATTTCTAGTGTATTTGGAGTGAGTAACGTCAATGTATAAAGTTTAAAATGATAACCTTCTGATGTACAACTGAGCTGTGTGTAGGGGTTTACGCTTCACTGTGTACAATTCAAAGCAGTACTTTAATGTGTGCAGAACAATACCAGCTTAGCGAGCAGGTCAGATGTTAGGATGAAATAGTGTTTTCTTAATTAAATGATATTATAAATTACCGTATAACTAATCAGCATTTGGTTTTTAAAATGGGCAACAGCAATAACACGATTGAAATAGTGCATAGCATTACCGGTCCGAAAATCATCAATTTAGTTCCATCTCCATGACCATTAGAGGCTGAACGCTGTGAAACGGTTTTTGTTTCTGTTTGCCTCCTACCCACTTGATCGACCAATGAGAAAGGATTAAATCAAACAGTTTGAAGCTTTGAGCACGATTAAAATGAACAAATCAGACAAACTGAACTTGTGTAGAAAATGACTATAACAGTTTACGATACTCCGTATTATCATCCAGTGTCTAACTACGGATTAGCTAAGCCCCCAACTGGGAATTTTATTATAATTTAATGCAACCTTTACATACCTTCCCGTCAGGTTTCATTCTGACTTCCTTGGACATTCTTCCACCCACTTCTAACTTCGACAAACATCGGACACCGAGGAATTCTATCCGCTAACATGCGCAACGCAGAACCATTCAAGTGGACAGCATCAACTTCCACTTCTCTGTGATCTTTTTCCCCATATCTATATCACTTATTTTCCGTCAGCCGTTCTCCGAATCACGACATTCAACAATGACCTGCCCAACAAGTACTACACTTCCCGAATTTATGTGATCTTCACAGCATTCCATAGTTAATCCTTTCTGGGAAATATTTGAGTTGTTTATAATTGTAACTTTTTTCACGGCCAATGTAACTAAACTCATAACATTTTAGATGGTGAATGTTTGGATTAGCCCATTCGGTTTTTCACATGAACCAGGCACTGTTGACGATTTTGGTTGTTGGGTTTCATTCCTTGGGAGATCGTAAACTCATAACAGTTTCAAAGTTTGCATTAAGATTGTAGAGTGATAAGTTTTCACGGCTCGCTATAACAGGAAAGGGGTTAGTGAATGGGGTGATCTTTTCTATTTTGGTGACCACTTATTTCACAATGGGCACAATTTGAATAAAACATCTCCAGGGTTGTGTTAACTCGTGACTTACGAATATCCTAATCATCGGTTCGTATACATTCACCTCAGTTCGCTTATTTACGACACATCACTTTCAGGGACTCTCTACAGTCACCCTGATTTCATCAGTGTTCCTAGGGCAAAATAGTTGTTGTTTGCTTCTTACATCAAGAAAAGTCAAGACATTCAATGAAGCATTCTAAACCAAAATGGTTGTGACTGTTATCATGCAAGATTTTGTTAGAAGTGTTATTTTTCTATTGAAATGTGAATTTTGTTTCGAGTTAAAAAAATATGCTTAGTGAACTGACTGTCATTCTTATCCCTTTTCCACTATGGCTATGTACGCAGGATGCGCAGATTTGCAGAAGGTGAATCGAATGAGTCGTTGTAAACTACTGGTGCAACAGCAACGACTGATGCAATTGGCCAGAGAACAGTCCCGTGAATTGCAAATGTTGCGCGCTGAGGCCGCTCGAGCCCGACGAGAGCACAATTCATCTTCACTTCTCTCCTGATCAAGAAATCCCTTTTTGTGGGAAGGTTGCATTCATGTCTGTTGTCACATGTCATAACTCAAAAAGAATACATAGG